AAACTGCTAGTCATAAACAAGAACATTAAAACAACCTTTAAAACAAAAAGAACTTTTCTAATCCAGAGCAATATAGCAGGGTTACTCTGAACTGCAGACCACAATATACACGTGCTTTGCATACAGAAACACCCATTTAAGTACACAGTTTTACTAAGACAGCTTCCTTATGTTCCTCTCTGTGTTCCTGGATGGGAACTTACAGTTTATCTATTTCAGCTGGCTGGGAGACACTAAACCAGTGTTTCTCAACCTTAGCAACTTCAAGATGAGAAGACTTCAACTCCCAGAATTCACCAGCCAGCCTAGCCACCTTTGGCTAGGAAGCCTGTTTGCTGAGAGACCGTCAGAGGGCCAAAAGATGGTTGGATGTGTAATCCCCAATTTTCTAGGGCACGGTACAAAGGGGAGGTGTCTCTCCCCCATAACTAGAAATTCTATTTTTTATTTCTATACCATCCCTTCATCACCAAAGGTCCATTTTGGAACAATATACTTTATTTTTATGATATTAAGGATACTTCCCTGGCATTGTCAGTCAGTTAACAGAGACAAAAAACAGCACAAAAAGTAAGAGAAACAGATAACCCAAATCAATTTAGTCTGAATCAGATTTGTTATTTTTAAAAATTGAGAATTCCAAATACCCAGGAAATCAACTTACAGGAATCCCTCTTTATCTTGACCTCATAAATCAGAAACCCAAGAAGTTCTCACTGATTGAAGTGGCAAGGTATCCAACTGACTCTTAAAATATTGCATATACATGCAGTTAGTGATTCCATATGACCAGGTGGCTCTTTTTCTTTCATTCTGATCTCCCAATATAAATCACAGTAAAAAGATGATGAGAGAACAGGGACACAGTTAAACCAAATTCAGCCTGTTCTTTAAAACTAGAACTCTCTGCTAAAACATGTTGAAAAGCATCTTTACATTTGACAGTGATTTTACCAGGGAAAGGCAATTCATTTTTTTCCTCTCTTTCTGGTACTGTATAAAAGGAATAAAAACAAGCTATGTAATCCATGCCATTGTGTGTTAAAAAAAAAAAAAAAACTTTAAGGCTTGTTTAAAAGACATGAAGTCATAAACTCACAAGAGATTCTGAATGTCACCTTAAGTACTTTAGTAAAGAAGAAGAGCTAACAACTGCAAAGGAGAACGACTGCAAATTAAATTGCTAACATTCGACATAAAAAACCCACATCTAGCTCTGCTACCAGCATTTCACAGCTGTAATGTAAAGTGCTCGAGTAAACCCTGAGCAAAAATGAGCTTTGATGCACAAGATTTTTGACACAAGCACACACTAACCATGCCCAGCTTTCAGAAAAAGAATGAGATGGGTGAAGCACTCATCTGCTCTGCCAGGTAAAAAGTGTAACTCGGATGTCAAAGGTTAGGGGGTCAGAACAAGTGACATTTTTCTCCCTGTCAAAGAGCGTGACATATGGACTTGCAAAGTAGATGCAGAGTTCATCACGGGCTGCATCACGCCGACTCTTACACACACCCCATTAGAAGACTGTCAGATTGTCTTTAGACATCAGCAATGGTACGTAACCCCACAGAGGATTCTTTCAATCGTGGAAAGGCACAGACATTTTTAACACCAGGTTACAGGGACACAGAAGTGCGCTGACCCAAATGAAGCTTTCTCAGGCACTCCTATCAACTTGTCACCACCCTTGGCAGATAAATATTCTCAGCTCTGAAAACTGGGGATTTAGCAGGCCTAGCGCGAGAACCCCTTGCAACTTCAACAGCGCTGCAGGGATCAGAGGAAAAGCAAGTAAACCAGGGAGCCATCCCATCTGCTCTCACAGCCCAGCTAGCCGTGTTTAAAAGAGACCTCACAACAGCAACAGCCAACCATCTCCATTAACAATACACACTGTATGTTGTGATTTGCAAGTGCAAAAAATCAGATTCTTCCCTAGGGGGCTTAATATTATAGATATTCTGGAGGGAAATCAAGAAGGGTGAAAAGGTGTAACAAAGGAAGTGGTTTGCCCTTGACTTCTTCTGGAATGCATTTTTCCAGCTTTCCAATGTAGCCTACAAACATAGAGCTCCTTTGTGGTCTCCCATCAAAACATTAACCAGGCCTAACCCTGTTTAGCTTCCAAACCTCGAAAAATATTCCAAATCACTGTCACCTGTTCAAACAAAAGGGAAAATATGCAGTTATTTCACTTACAGAATGGAACAGAGATTGAGGCTAAGGCTTCCGAAAAGATGGGTTTTGTGGGTGTGGTGACTGGCTTTGCGAAGAAGAAAAAATAAAGGTCCTATAGGAGAAGGGCACATGACCCTCTAGCATTTAACGCTGGGCATTTTTCAGACACCTATGAAGGTAACCGGCAAAGTTATTAAGAAAACTGTACACAGTGAACTTTGTAGCACCATCCATACGCTGCATGTGCTGCTATTATTACACTAGTGAACAAAACAATAAACAAAATGCTAACATTAATAGAATGCAAAGCTGTATTCTACCATCAGATACTGAAGAAGTAAAACCATTTTTTCCCCAGAGAACCAGACAAGTTCCACAGATGGAATTTCTTAGAAAGCTTATGGGAGTCGGGGAGGGAGGGAGGGAAGGATCTATATTATAATTCCAAATTTTATGAATACCACCCACAGAAGCTTTTGCTGAAATGCACATACTTGGCAATAACAACAAAAAACCTTAAAAAAGGGAAGAGGGACTGAATAATCTACTGGGAAAAAGAGAATTAGATCCATACTGAGCCTTTATAAAACGGCTGTCAAAAAGAGAGAGAGAGAGAAGGAAAACCTTTGGTTAAATTTTGCAAAGTGCAAAATAGAGATAATCCCTGCAAATCTATTTTCCACGTCTGTTTTTTTTCCCCTCTCTCTCTCTTCTCATACAGTACAAAAGGTTCACTTTTAAAACCTTCTTCCTGAATCAAGCTGTTTAAACCTGAAAAGCCTGTGTAAATTTCTCTACTAGCTGAACATACAAGGATGCCAAAGCAGGGCAGTGTATGCTCTGCCAAGTTTCAAGTCCTTCAACCAAATATCATTCTATAAATCACTGCTAATACTGAACAAAGAATGATGTTCATGCAAATATTTATTTCATCGCTGAATTACAGCCTCTTTATATAGAGCTTCAAAATCTCTTAGGTCCTGAATAATTAGGTTCCAACTAATGGCTAGAAGTCCAACATGTCCTGCTATAGTTCTGAACCACAGCTTCTTTAAAATAACTCCATTTGCCATCTCCAGTTACCTTATACATTATTCAACCCACTACCAAATCTTAATTATTATGTTTACCTGAAAGGAAGAACATAATTTTCCTCAAATAATTTAGATTCACTAAGAAAGCAGCAATGGAAACAGATGAGTTTCCAACGGATGAGAGGGACATGGAGGAGGAAAACCTTTCGGAGAACTAAGGTATGGGCATTGTAACCAACTGTTTCAGATGCTAACTTAGCACTGGCAAGAGTAAATAATTCCTCTTAGAGAACAAATAGGCTTCATGAGCGAGTGGTATGTCTCAGACTGTGAGACATCTGAGAAAGGGCACAATTTAAAGCCTTTAGCAACCCAATAAGTTGAGGCTTCAAGCCACGTGCTAAGCTGGAGATATAAGGACTCAATTAAGCTTTGGATTCTGCCTGATCAACCCCAAAGGATTCCACTACATCTAACCCAAGGCTGAGAAACACTGGTCTAACCAGTCCTTCAGACTCACTGAATGAAACCCAACTTTTGAGCCACCCCAGCTTCCATGACTGTTTACATCAGGACACCAGGTTCTACTTCCCTAACAGAATGGATACCAGCAAGTGTGAGTTCACAGGGAAGAGAAATACCTGGACAGAGGAGGCTAAGAAGCCTACCTAGTTCCCTCATGGTTTCATATAATACGGATAGTGTATATTAAATAGAATAAAACCTGAACAAGAAAGCCACCACAAACAGACACCACTTAATGTTATTGGTACAGGAGGAATAATCAAAGTGCATAATAAATTGTTCCATTTTAAACTGCTAACATTAATTACATTAACACTAACATAGAAAGAGTAAGCACATTTCCTCATAAAAACCAAAAATCAATTAAGACCAGTCATAATATTTCAAAGAGCAGTAATTTCAGCATAACACATAAATTTGTTTTACTCCTCGAAGAGTCATATTTTAGTTCTGTAGAGGGGTTTTGGTTATGTTTATGTTCAATTTTATATGACATTAGCTTAATTTAGATGGAAATCCTATAACCACCCCACTGAAGTCCACTAGGGAGGTATGTTTAAGCCTCTGTTGTTAATTCCATCATAATGTAGTGCTGAAGGAGAGACAAGAAATATGCAGACTACTTGAGTAATATGAATTACAAGGTTTTTTTAATAAAGATAAAATAATGAGCTTGCAAAATGAATTTAAATGAAAGTCAAATAACATGTCAAAAATAGACTTCTATTGATTTTAAGATGGCAAAAACATTTCAGAAACCCACATCACTATATGAAAATGTTAAAAATGGACCTCATTAGTTCTCGGGTGAGAAGGGAGAGGGAAATCTAATAAACAACACCTTGCTTTCTAAAAGTACTCAGGGAATTTTACTGATCTGACATAATTTGACATTAAGTCAAATCAGTAAGTTTCTGAAGGAGCTGCTTAGATTTTAATTTCTTAATATTTAATGAAAGATCTTCGTAAACAAAGAACGGGGATGCTTTCTGAATGGCAATTTATAAAAATTGTTTTCAACTCAGGTTTAACTTTCACACATAAGAGCAAGCTAAAAAAAAATGAAACAGAGCTCATTTTATTAAAGCAAACTGGAGTGCACAAGCTGTGTTGGACTTCAAACTTCCAAATTCCCAACCATTTCCACTAATTTGCTGTTCTAATTTGAGAGTACCAGCCTTATTTCAAAATAACCCTTGAATCCAAAGTCCCAAATTTCCCCATAAAACTGAATATATACATTTATTCCCCAAACTTACCTTTTCTGAGCTTCGGCATCTCGTCTAGCTTGTTCTAAAGCCAATTCTTCAGCTATTCTTTTCTTTAGTTCTTCCTCGTTGACTGGAATTAAGACATGGGGAAAAAATAAATGCATGTTGCATATACCCTGCTAAAAGAGCTGTCCTCTGTTTTGCCCATTAGTTTCATTTTTGACTCATACAAGATAATACATTTTTTCCTTACTTTAATAAATATGATTAACAAGCTACTGATTAAAAGGGACAATCTAAGTTGTTGTTGTTGTTATTATTCCAAGAAAAAAGGAATGATACAAATACAAAAAAATAAGTAATAGAAAAAGGGTGAATAGCCAACAAATCACAAATAGCCAGCAGATCAAAAATATCATATAGCTATTAAATTGTATTCTAATAATACATTCCTACATCATTAACAACAGAGTACCCATACCAATTTCTAGTCAAGAGATGTCTAAAATAAAATATTTGGTTAACACAATTTTCCTCAATAAGAGGAAAAAGTAAAGCTATAAATCTGTGGAAGAAAAACTTTTGTGGATTTTTTAAGTCTTCACTTTTAGGTTCTATTTACTTCCTGGTTCAACTTGCTTCACCTGGTGGTCCTACCTTATTCTATCATGGTTCTGCCTACAGCTACTCTCGCTCTACAAGGAAATCCAAAGATGTTGGCAGACAAGGATGTCTGCAGGAGGTGGTCAAAAAAGTTAAGATGGCAGCCACAATGCCAACTGAAGTCCTGCCTATTTTTCATGAGTGGCGATGCACGTAAAAAAAAAGTGGAACTTCAGCTGCACTGTCATGGCTGTCATTTTGATTCTTTTGACCACGCTCTGCAGACAGTCCTATTGGGGGAAACAGCCAAGTGGGTAAGCAGTTATAATCATTGTTTCAATGCAACAGGGAGACAACACATCTCTGAATAAGACATGGGCCATTCTAAAAATATCACAGGCACCTACTTTTTCGTCCACCCATTTACATGTGTAAAATTTTTCAAAAGCTTCAAAATACTAAGGCACAGTTGGAAATATACAGAGGGGAAATAACAACAGGTTTTCATGGTGATAATGGGAGACCAAACACAAGTTTAGCCATTACAGAGAACTTGGGAGCCAGAATAGATTAAAATATTAGATAAGATAATTATACTTACTCTAACAAATCCAGAATAAAGACTCCACACTTTGTTTAGCTCGACCTAAACACAGAAGCTCGGGAAGCCATTGGTGAATGACTAGTATTGATAGAAAATAATAATGACTAGAAAAATCACCAAATGGAAAGATTGGAAAAGACCTAATCCAACCCAGTGCCTGGTGATTTCAACAAAGGATGGGCAAATTAAATGTCAGTTATTAGAACACGGAAGTAAGAGAAGAAGAGGACAACCAATAGCTAGGCAGATGGTTTCAATTAAAGCAACGATGGGTGCCCTGTTGGAAGACCTGGGAGAGCAGGTTGGGGACAGATCATCCTGGAGAAAATCAATGTAGTTACTAAGAGTTAACCCTGACCTGATGGCACATAATCAATTAATCAATTAGAATATGGTCTAGAAAGTACATTTAAAACACAATGATTTGGACAACTAAATAGGAAACACTGTCCTTATACACCCCTCGGTTTCCATATTTTAGCACCGGACTCCACTTAAAAATCCAATCAACTGGAATAATTCATGGTGTAGCAAAATGTGGGGAAGAATTAGAAATCATGAAAGCTATAGCCCAATATATCTGAAGAACACTGTGGCGAAGAAAGTGGTTTATAACTATTTCCAACTTCTGACTTAGAACACAAGGTACAATCCACGGAGGTTTCCTTTGGAGCAACATCCCTGAAATTCATGGGGGCTGTCTCGCTTTTTGCAGCTTCTACCCCATTCAATCAGACATTTGCTGGGATTTTCTCAGAGAACATTTCCAGCAGGGTATGCCCTCTCTGCACCTCTCTGCACTATGGAATCTCCACAAGCAGCTTCTGGGAAGACAGCAAAACAATTTACCCAGCAATTGATCATTAGATTAATTTCACCTCTGGAGAGATATTTTAAATATTTCAAGACTCAGATCTGGCACCTGACAACAGGCATACAATGCATAACAATTAAGGTGTCTGCCAGTCTATGCATCAGGGTTTTTTATTGCTCCTATGTGTAAGAATGGATAGAAAAGGCTAATGGACCATTGAAACAACTTCTGAAGAACAATAAATACAATCAGGCTATCAGCCAATAAAGACATGGCACATTTGACCTTAACAATCAATTAGGTTATGCATTGATCAGCCAGACCCTAATAGGGAATAAAAGTGGGGATGTAGATCGTTAAATAGAAATTCTATTACTCTAGGTATGTAGGATTATTCCCAAATGAGATAGCCAAGACAACTGAGTAAGGACTAATCCTAAGAAAAGGACATGGGGATGAGAAATAACTCCAGCAATGTTATTTATCTGCCCAAGTTTTTGCAAGAAAACAAATCATTTGACTCAAACTGATGTGCTGAATATCTAGGCAGGCTATTCCTATTTAGCTGATGCAAATAAATCATGTACAAATAAACCCCTAGGAAGTAAAACAAAGCACAATTTCTCCAAGTCTGGTTAAGTTAAGGTCAGCAGTACAACACGCATGATTAGCAGAGAACCTGATTTTTCTAATGACAGATTCTGAGACAATACTAGGCGCTCACAAGATGAGTTTGAGAGATGATTATGCACAAAACTGTCTAGAAACAACAATGTCACTTCCATTTTATACTATGTCCAGATTAATCCTGACACTAAATGCTCATTTGTTTAGATGATCACCTCTAGGAACCGCAGAACAGACAACCATATGAATCAAATATATCTTTTGATATTTCAAATGGGACAAGAGAGTGACATCAAAATCCACATCTCCACATGAGGTTCCTTCTCCATCATTTACCTAATTATTCATTTGTCATAGATTTGAGAATAGTGACAGGCTCAGGCAGGAGATGGGACAATTCCTATAATCAAGTTCTTTACTAGACAAGAGTGTCACAAAATAAAAAATGTATATGACTCTATCCTACAGCTTACTCAGTGTTCTCTTTACTAAAGCCTATACCCTATACTACCCTAGCTTTATTTCTTACTGCCTTAGGTTACTGCCCCCAGCCCATGGGCATCTGTGGGGTAAGGTGTGGTTAAAAAAAAAAAAAAAAGTCAAGACGACGGCCATGATGTACAACTAAAGCCCTACCCCTGTTAACATGTGTGGTCCCCATCTTGACTTTCTGGACCCCTACGGACACCTCTGTCCAGCCTCCAGACTGTCCTGGCCAAGGTCACCTGGCTGTGAGAGCTCTCTGCTCTCAAGGCTGTGTTGCGGTATCTTGCCCTCTGGCGTTTGGGAAAAAGGTGAGGGGGTGAGGCAGACCTCTTCCCCTCCTGCTTGGCTCTGCTCAGCCCTAGCACCAGGTTCTCAGGCCCACCTTTCACTTCTTCTGGCTTCTTGGGCCTCCTGGTGTGCACACTTCACTACTCATGGTGCCCTGGAAAGACATGCCAATGCTCTACCTGCACTTTCTTCTGGAAGCTTGGCTTCCTCCAACTTTTCCAGGCTGCAACCACCGTTCTTCACTGCTGACACTCTGCCAGTCCCCCCGCCCCACCATTCTCCTGCTCTCCCCCAGTACCCTCAAAACTTCAGCTCTTTGCCTCCTTTTTTCTTCTTCCTTCACTCATCAGTTCTTGCTGTTCTTTGGCCAGCACAACTCCTCCACATTACCTCTCTGCAGCTCTTGAAAGCATCTTTTCCCAGTTATGGCTGCTTTAAGAAGTACACACACTCAGAACCATTTTCTAGAATCAAATCAGAAATATTGCACAGTCAAATATTGCTCGACTGGAGTGCAAAGGGTTGCCAAACAGCAAGAAAAAACCCCAAAGCAAATCAATTTACAGGGAGCAGCTTTATGCACATACAACTCCTTTACCCCACTGTTTGAAGACACAGTCAGTAACACACCAAACTTTGGTACTGAAGACTCCTGAGAATATCATGAATAGCCAAGAAAACAAACAAATGGATCGCAAAACAAATCAATCCAAAATTCTCATGCTAGGCACATATGACCAGGCTCAAATTATCATTACTTGGGACACATTATGCAAAGGCCCAGCTCTCTTGGGAAGTCCACAATGCTGCAAAACCTGGATGGAAAGAGAAAAAGAGAGAACCAGACGTAAGGTGGATGGATTTGATTACAGTGGCAATGGGCATACCACTGGAAGATCTGAAGGGCCAGGTTGGGGACAGTTCATGCTGGAGAAAATCTATCAATATGGTTGCTAAGAATCAACACCAACTTGATGCCATATAATTAACTAATCAAACAATGGGAAGGGGAGGGGTGGGGAGGGGAGGGGAGGGGAGGGGAGGG